TCAGTAAAATTTCTAAAAGGGTAACAATACCCCACTGAAAAGTGTGCACTGCAGAAAATAAAATAATATAATAATACTAAATAGTAAAAACTCAAGGCCAGACGCGTTTCGACAAGTCTTCCTTGGTGGCCTACAAGCATTCAAAAGATATATAATATAATATAATATAATATAATATAATATAATATAATATAACAATTCCTCAGCTCACACAATGTGACTCTGCTCAATTCATTGGACCTAAATTACTGCAGCAACTAAAAATCTCAGAATCCCATACAACTGCTAAAGAACCTAACTATTTTCTGTAACTGTGTGGTATAGATTTTTCTTTTCTACCCTGATAGTTGGAATTAATGAATGATAGCTTTCAGATAGCTTTCAGGCCTTCACAAGTTCAACCTGGACAATGAAGAAATAGAAATAGTAAAAGAATCCCCATACCTGGGATCAAACATTGATAGAAAGGGGGACTGTGGTCAGGAAATCAGAAAAAGCCTAAAAATGGGGAAGGTGGCTATGAAAGAACTAGAAAAGATCCTAAAATACAAAGATATACAACTCAGAAAAAAAGTGAGGATCATACAAGCCATCGTATTCCCAATTACCATGGATGGATGTGAGAGCTGGACAGTTAAGAATGATGATAGGAAGAAAATCAATGCATTTGAGAGAATGTGGTGCTGGAGAAGAGTGCTGAGGATCCCATGGACAGCCAAGAGGACAAACAAATCGGTCCTTGAGCAGATCAAACTGGAAACCTCCCTGGAAGCCAAGATGACCAAACTGAGACTGTCGTACTTCGGACATACCATGAGAAGAGAGGACTCTTTGGAATAGACAATAATGCTGCGGAAGGTGGAGGGAAGTAGGAAGAAAGGAAGGCCACATGCCAAATGGATGGACTCTATTCGGGAGGTCACTTTGGGTATTAAGGGGTTGCAGGAATCAAGCAGAGCAGGGGAGGACAGAGGGTCTTCTTGGAGATGTCTCATCCAGAGGGTCACCATGAGATCAACTCAAGGGCAGTTAACAACAAGAAAAGCTATCAGATTGGAAAGTGTCTTCTGGGGAAGTTAGATCTTCAGTGGATACCTTTTATGGTGTCTTGCACAAATGCCATTTTTCCAAGAACTCAAATTTGGGTACATGCTCTTCAATGTACACCCATAAAGCTGGTTGCATCTGTTACATGTCAGAAAGTCCAAGCGGGCAGGTCCTGTGTGATTTGGTGTACGTTCTTTTTCCAATTTGCAAAGATGCTTTGATGGAGGTCACGTAGCCATCCCGGCCTCCCTTTTGAATAACATCTCCTGTATTATTAGAGGACCGTAATTTCTTAAGTCCTGAGGTGCTGAAACTCTTGCCTTCTTTCACCAACAGCCTTGGGGGCAAGTTATGAAAAAGCAACAACCAAATTCAATTGAGGTCACAGGTTTTTTTTATGGTTAGACGGGTCAAACAAGTATTTTTCCAGAGCAGAAGATGTGTGCGCATGTGTGTTGTGTGCTTTCAAGTTGTTTCCAACTTATGGTGATCCTAAGGGTAACCTATCACAGGGTTTTCTTAGCAAGTTTTTTCAGAGAGGGTTTGCCTTTGTCATCCTCTGAGACTGAGAGAGTGTGACTTGTCTAAGGTCACCCAATGGGTTTTTGTGGCCAAGCAAGGATTTGAACTCTGGTCTCCAGAGTCCTAGTCCAAGGAGTTTATCACATGGGACGGATCCCATGCAGAAACTAGATTTAAAGTGAAAACAACTCACAAAAATGGGTTGTTTTTCACATGACATTCAGGTTAACCTGAACAGAAAGTAGAAACAACCCGCAAAAGCGGGTTGTTTTTCACTCGACGTTGGTGTCAAGAAGAAATAACGCAACATTAATCCGAATAGAAAGTCACCAAAACCCACTCCTTTTTACTTTCGGGAACTTGCACAAGTAAAAACGAGAGGGTTTTGGCGACTTTCCATTCAGATTAATGTTGCATTATTTCTCCTTTACAAAACATGTCTGAAAAACAACTTGCTTTTGTGTTTTTCCCCCCAGATTTTTAAATCCCATTTCTGCACGGGATTTAAGCAATTTGCTTCCATGTGATAAGGTCCCAACACTCAAACCACTACACCACACTGGCTCTCTAAAAACAGAAGTTAACTGATTGTTAATTTGAAAAAAAAATCATAAAAGTAATTTCTTTGGGAAAATTGTGTGAATTACAGAATGGGGGGAAAAGATCAAGAATGGGGAGACTTTGGTAGTAGGGAAGTTGCAATAGGGAAGGAATCACAACCAGAAATTATGAAACTACAGGTAAGAAGGAGATGCTCTAGAATAAAAAAACAACTCCAAAGTGATGGGTTCTTGTGAAGGCCCAAAATGATGGGGCTTGTTGAGATCAAGGTTGTCGAAATTGAGGAAGTGGAGTTTTCATGTGGTACCATGATGAAACTAACCCACCAACTGTCTAGATTTAGAAAGGCAGTTCCAATTCATCCATTCCTATTCTTGTACTGCCTTCCCAAGCATTAATATATTTTCTAGTGAGTCATGTCTTCTCATAATATGTTCAACGTATCACAGTCTCAGTTTAGTCATCTTGGCTTCTTGGGAGAGTTCAGGCCTGATTTGTTCAAGGACCCATTTATTTCTCTTTTTCGCAATCCATGGTATCCACAGAACTCTCCTCCAGCACCACATCTCAAATGAGTTGAATCTCTTCCTATCTGCTTTTGTCACTGTCCAACATTCACAACCATACATAAAAATTATAAATATGATGACATGGACAATCCTTACCTTAGTATTCAATTATATATCTTTACAATTCAGATTCTTGTCTAGTTCCCTCATAGCTGTCCTTCCAAGTCCTAGTCTTCTTCTGATTTCTTGACTGCAGTCTCCAATCTGAGTAATAACTGAGCCAAGGTATGGAACATCTTGTACTGTTTCAGTGTCTTCATCATCTATTATAAAATAGAGGGTTGCCAAAGCGAAACCTGGAGAGGGCTCCTAAACCTTTCATGGCTATGTAGAAGAGGCAATTGCTTGTTGCCTGGTTCTGTGACAACCAACATGAGTTGAAATTCCTTCTACACAACTATTAAAGTATAAGAGTCCTTTGCACTTTTCAATCTGGCAGTCCTAATACAATATCTATAATCTATATCTATTGCATTGGGGCTGCCAGATTGAAAAGTGCACAGGAATCCTGTACCTTAATAGAAGAAATTTCAAGATATGTTCAATCTATCAGCCCTAATTCAATATATCTATATCTATACCAATCTATAGAGAACCAGTGTACTTAGTGGTTTCAGTGTTGGACAAGGACTCTGGAGAGCAGAGTTTGAATCCCAGCTTGTCCATGGAAATCCATTGGGTGACCTTGGACAAGTCACAGTCTCTCATCCTCAGAGGATGGCAATGGCAAACCCCCTCTGAAAAAATTTGCCAAGAAAACCCCCTGCTAGGTGCATTGCCTTAGGGTCGCCATAGGTTGGAAATGACTTGAAGGGACACAATAGCAATAGTAATAGCAAGTACATTTCTACACTTCATTAAGCACTTCCTAAGTAGTTTACAACATGTAAGCCAATTGTCCCCAAGAAGCTGGGTACTCATTTTAGCAACCTTGGGAGGATGCAAGTCTGAGTCGAGCCTGAGCTCCTGGCTGGGATTGAACTCACAACCTTGCGGTTTGTGAGTGAGTGGCTGCAGTACAGGCATTTAACCACTGGGCCACCAGGGGTCTAACAACAACAATCTAAATCCATATTTATATCTACATCTATCTATAACTAGACTCTTTTCAAGGCAGTGCTCTCACTATGAGTTTCCTCTTTCCCCCTTAGGGACTGGAGGAAAGAGGCCAGGCCCTGAGAACTGGCAACCATAGGGGTGATGCTCCTTTGATTGTTCTCTGCAAGCCTGGATGTGACTTGATGATGCCTCCAGGGATGCAGCGAATGCTCGCCTTCCCTTAATGTTTGGGTTTTATAACTAAAGGGCAGGGCACTCATCAAACAACTCTGGCTTTCTGCAGGATGAATGAAATGAAACAATTGAACCTTCCTTGGCTTGTTCAGCTGGCAGAACAGGGGGTATGTGTGGCATTTGCAAGGTAGGGCCAGGGCGTTGCAGCAAGGGAGGTGGGTCTGTATTTTTCAAAGTCTCTCAGGCAGAAAATCTTGGGTCTCTTCTTTCCGCCTCCACCCAGGGCTGCCTGCAGTTTTCAGTACTTATGCAAGACCTAAATTCAGCTATTTTTTCTGCACTGGGCTGGGAAATCTCCCTGCTTTCTTTCTGTTGTTGTGTATCTTGTTTCCAAGTTATGGCTACCCTAAAGTGAGCCTATTATGGGGTTTTCTTGGCAAGACTTGTTTGGAAGGAGGGTGCCTTTGAGACTGAAACTGAGAGTGTGTGACTTCTGGATTTCCATGACTGAGTGGGGATTCGAACCCAGGACTTGAGTCATAGTCCAATTCTCAAACCACTACACCACATTGGCTCTCTTACCCACTGTACCCCCCCCATCAAAAATTTATTATTTAGCCCTCTGTAATGGTGTGGGGGAAAAATTTTGCCATGATTTTGGTTCCTTCCTTAGCCATTTTAGGACCAAGGTGGCTTCTTTTTTTTTTACAACCGGAAGTGGCCTGGAAGTCCTATAATAAAAAAGGGTCTTCCCTGGATCACCTTCTCTCCCCGGGAAGTCATGTTGATAGGACCAGAAGAAGATGGCAAACAAATGAACAGATCCCGGTACTACAGCTCTCAAGACTTTGTACCACAACACACTCTCAGAATCTGCAACTGGTGTGGCCATGCCAGACTCTCCAACTGTTTTGATTTGGTACATCAGTCCCAATTAATCCTCTGCCATCCTACTCTTTCATCTGCTTTGAAAATGTCCCAGTTTCTCTCTCCTCCCACTTTCCCCCCCTTCATCCTTGGCTTACTTCAATTGCTACAAACTCAGTTCAAAAAGCAAAAATAGCCCGCACACAATTAACTGAGCAAGAGGGAGAGGAAGGGCAAAAGCAAACTGCTGCAACTTTCTCTTCACTTGTGTGTTCTTCCTCAATGACAACTGTTGCCATCTTGGTCATACTCTGATGTTGTTTGGCTGGATGTGTCCTGGTTTTCCTCTGTGAAATGTTAGAGAGTTTGCCATGCTGGCTGGAGGATTCTGGAAGCTGTAGTCACTTTTGCAAGCTTTGCATCACAGGTGCATTCTCTCCCAATTAATCTAGGAATGGCCCTATTCCTGAATCTTTGGGTTCATTCACTCTGTACAAGAATAGTAATTTCATACCATTTCAACTGTCATGGCTAGGCAAGGCTGGGATTTTGAATTTGTTGCTGTTTCTGAGTTATGGAGTGAACTTATCATCTGGTTTTATTTTTTATTTTTTAAATAAAACCTGCCATTTTTAATTTCCCTGAGCGAAATAGGGACCTCTGGAAACAAAATGGCTATAGGTCACTTCTCCCTGAACAAATTTCATCGGTTAATGACAAGTCAAAACAACCCATTTCAGGGTGGATAAAACAGCAGCTTTTTGATGTGTGCCTTCAAGTCGTTTCCAGTTTATGGCAACCCTAAGGTGCAATGAAGACCCTGAACCTGAGGAATTACTAAAGTCCAAATCTTCTATGGAATCTTTTTATCCTTTGTTTACGGAGGTGGCTAGAGAAGAGACTGATATAGAGACAAAGCTTTATCTGGGGATTCAAGCACACAAAGTCACCCTAACACACACACACACACACACACACACACACACACACACACACACAAGAACTCAGGAATAGAGTAGTTAGCTTGGGGAGGAAACACAAGGCTTTCTAATGGTGATAATTACCTGAAAGGAGGCTGCTCCAACGATTAATTGAGATGGATAGACTCAACCGAAAAAGGACAATGGGTAGAGCCGGAGATTCTAGTTAGACATCACAATGGCACAGGGCTGTCAAGAAATCTATCCAGACCCCCCTGTGCCTCAGATTTTGGGGAGCATTTATATCTTTAATTCTGAGCTGAGGCTAAGAGATGCTATTGTATATCAAAGGATTCCAATTGCTATGTTTCAAATTAGACAATTTCCAAAAGA